CACAAGTCAGACTTAGTGAAGGAGTGCGTGTGTAATGGCAGTTTCAGTTTCTTTGCTTGTCTGAAAGCAGATTGTAATACAGGGTTGCATCAGGGGGAAGGTTGGGGAAAAGGTGGTTTTGCTTGAGATTGGAAGGGTCCTATGGGGTCAGGCATGGTTCCATAAGATTGGATGGTCTTACTGCTGTGTTTATTCTAGTTTTCTGAAAAAGGCTAAACTTTGTTTCTAAGATGATTGGCTTGGCCGTTGTGTTTATTTAATTTCGCCAGACTTTGTTTCTAAGATGAATGACCTAGCGATTTGCTTGTGGGGTTTTGATTGTGCAAACTTGAGGGCCAGACATTGTTCCATAAGTTTGGATGGTCTTGTCGCTGTTTATTTCTGGGTGGTTTTTGAACAGTCTCTGGGTCTAACTCATAGTGCTCTGTTTTTTTTGTGCTGAGAAGAAGGTGTTGAGCATGGTTTCTCAGATGAATGGCTCAACTCTTTTGTTTGTTTTATTCTGAGGGAGTCATTTCTGCTGAGGATAAAGCATGTTTCATAAGATTGGATGGCTTTGGACTCATGTCGCACACAGATGGGTCAGAGAGAAATGAATCTGGCAGAGGAACCGACATGTTCCATAAGATTGGATGGTCTGGCCCAACGCCTCGCGCATGTTGGAACCCAAAATGTTATAATTTGACTATATTTTATTACTATTCTATTTAAGAACAGGCGGGTCACACAAAGTTCCATAAGATTGGCTGGTCTGACTAAAGCTTATCATAAATTTGAAGAGAGTATAATTAAGAATATAACTGAAGGTAACTTTGGGCAAGTTGAGCTTTGTTTCTAAGATTAATGGCTCAGTCCTACGCTCAGCTTTTCAATACTTAGTTCAGAGAGGTATATATAACTTAGATATTAAAAATTTCAGGGCGACTAGGCATTGTTTCTAAGATGAATGACTTAGCAATGTGCCCAAAGGAAGAGAAAAGTAGTTGTGCAAGTTGTTCGTGTATACTTAATGGCTGAGTCAAGCATGTTCCATAAGATTGGATGACCTCATTTTATGCCTTATGTAAGCAAGGTATAAAGGGTTAAAGCATTGAAAGATTATGAACTATTGTCTTCTAAGTTGACTTGGGGATGGTGAGAGTACTTACCTTTGTGGTTTGACCTGCATGTGGCTGAATGAGGTCTCTGCTTAGTCTGAGTTTCAGTTTGACAGGTAGTTGCTTTAGTTGCTCGCCACATGCTAGGTTTATTTTCCGACTAGGTTTATTTTACTTAGATCAAATCTCGCATTTTCTGAGATCTTTTGTTGTACTTGGCTCTGTATAAATTTTGGTAAGCTACTTCCTCTACGGGAAGCGCTGCCAAAATTTCTACAAATCCAGGGAGTTAGTCAGTTCTTGACTTTTCAAAGTTCAACTTGTCTAAAGTTCATATATGGCTTAGTAAAAATCTGGAAAGCCTCCTTTTCTAAAGGGAATGCTGCCCAAATTTTTGCTAATTCAAGGAGTTAGACAAAAATTGAACTTTGGAAAGTTAAAGACTATCTCTGTTTCATATTTGGGCTGATATAAATTTTGAAAAGACACTTTTCCTACGGGAAGTGCTGCCTAAATTTTCTTAGTTTAGAGGAGATATATTATATTTTGACTGGTGGCGATTCTGGCGGTCCACTCTGTATAGGGGAGGCTCTGCCAAGGTCTACCTTTGCTTCGGCCACAGCTAAGGGTAGGTCTAAACTTAGTTAGTTAGGTGAATTTTGGAGTGAGATCGTGATTATCCTCCAAGGACTTATAAACCTAGCTTGGGGATTGGTCTGTCATGTGTTAAAGGTTCTCTTGATCAATTGATTCGGGATTTGGACAAGATTTAGCTCGATCCTACGAGGATCATCTACTATTATCGCTGATAACAGGTCGGTTGCCGATTCGCCGGTTTACGGCTCAATTCCAACCCGCTCCCCGTACTCTACCCAAAAGGTTTTAACCCTGGTGATCTTGGTTGTTTTGTTAAGGCTTCACCCGGACTTTTATTGAATGACCATTTAACAAAGGTGCTGAGTATTTAATTATGGTTGTTTGGACGGGAGATTGGGGCTTGCATGGCTAAAGCGTGGGGTATGAGTGCATATAATGGTTGGAGTTGACTCCGTGTAGTGCGTGGACTGTTGTTTGATTCTTGGGTGTGATTGCAGGGATGTTCTGTGGCTCAGATTCTGAACTTTGACTGTGTGGGATCACATATATACATATGGTTGTGGAGAACCCCACTGAGACTGTGAGAAGTGATCGTCACATATTTATCCCCTTATATGTGTGTGCGTGGGTGTACCTATGATAAGTGCTTGCGTACCCCAAAGAGCCCCGTACTAAAGGCATACTCAAAAGTTGAGACTGGAAGACATAAGGAAGATCCTTCCTTTCACTTGGTTGCTTCTTGGGGGTTTCTTAGTCAGACGTTGGTCCTGGTCCGGGATTCAAGGTCCTTGTCCAGGACATCCCAAGCCCTAGACTCTGCAGGGGAGGGACCTCCCCTCGCGCGAAACCTATTTACTCTGCCCATCGAGACACCCAACCCTGAACGCAGAAGTGTCGCCAGGGCTGAACGGTCTGTCCTTCAGCCGTTCAATATCGTGAGGGGTAACCCCTCACGATATGTCCCTTCAACCACTCAATATCGCGAGGCCAGACCTGCAATTACCACATATGACTAACATTGTTGGTTGGTATAGGACCGGTCTGCTGCCGCGCAACTTTATAGCAAGTTTCTGCGCACGACGTTTTGCCGTCCTTAGTGTCTGAAAGTTATGGGACTGAATGACTCGCATGTATGCACGAATGGTCGAAATCACTATAGGCCACTGGTACCAACCGAAAAGGGGGCACTCAAGGTTATGAGTTTTTTTTTGATAGGGGGACCCTCGGCCTATTTCTGTTTTTTGAGTTATCATGGTTGGACGTTATAGTCCGTGGCAGCCGTCAAAGTCAAACCCCTTGACCTATGTCTAGGCCTGGAGTAGGACTCATCCCCACGGTGACAAGAAACGACTGCCACCACAGGTATGGACCTATGTACCACCCACTCTGCACAGAGTGCAGAAGAGGGTGTGTGGTCTTCAACCGCGCATGGCGGTGTCTCGCGTCGAGAGATTAACCCTCAAGGCGCATGTCAGCCGACATTTGAGTGTCGAATGCGACCCTCGAGATTAAGGAGGACCGCATGGGTATGGGTTCTACAAAGTACGCCATCACTGCGACCGCTTGCGTACGCTTGCATTGAGAGTGGATGTGAGTAGGCCCTGCGTCCGCACGGTTTTATGCTAAGTCTCACGAGTGACGCCTATCCGATTTTCGCATCGGAGAGCTATGGGATGACTACTGAAGGGACTAGGAGCGTTGTCGCGTTGTTTGTGTTGTGTCGTTTCGTGTGTGTGGGCGTGTGATTTATTTTTGTGTTCGTAAAGTGGTGTGCGCGTGGTGTGTGGGATGCGTCCTAGTCGACCGACGACGAGTCGCGCTTGGGACCTCAGCCCCCCAAGATGTCGGTTCGTGTGCGGGTCCGATAGAGGCGTCTTACCGCGCGTACGCCCTATGCTACAGCGAACGAGAAACGCCCTCAGCTGGTCCACCTTTGCGATCGCAACTGATTAGCTTTCGTACTGTTGACTGGTAGCTCGGCAGGGATACGCCCACCGAAGGGAGGTGACAACTCCCGTAAGGTGGAGGTAAGTCGTGCCTCACGTAGGCCCTATCCTGTCGTAGGGGCTCGCGGGAGGTATGGATGACGCACTCGGCCGGAGCGGTTTGCGGAAATTCCATGTATATTGCGATGAAGGATTTAAATCCAACTCCTGCGTGACGAGGCCGGGAGGGGCCCGCGCTGCCCTGGTGCGGTGTCGGACCGATGCGCTCGAGAGGTGGCGTCGTTGCCGGGGATAACGGAAGCCTACCGTTGTCCCTGGTGGAACGACATCCGGGTATGGGAATGAGAGAAAATCAGGCATCATTGGATAGATGATGAGTGAGCGACGTGGTACTTTGAGTGGTTATGTGTGTGTAAAACTTGATTACTAATGAATCTAGTTGGTAGTTGAGGTGGCTGCGTGATTAAGAGATTGTATAAAAAGTCTTTTGAAGGGAGTAGACTCTGTTAGAGTAAGCCTGGTAGTAGGAGTAGTGCCCGTGAGGTTGAGGGGATGTAGGAAAGAAGTGGGAAGCCTGATAAAAGTATATCAAGGTGGGTTGCTGAATGAAGCTTTCCATTTCTTCTCTTAACAGGAAGGTTGAGTAAGAAGTAGCCAGCCAAGATGTCTGGAGGAGGGGGCGTCGTCCCGAGGAAGACCCTGACGCTCGACGACCTCATCGAGGCCCTAGACAAGCGTGAGAGGGCGCCGAGCAATGTTCCAAAAGTCGATATATTCCATTTCAAAGGGGAGCGGGTATCTGATTGGCTGGATTTGACTGAGCAGGCGCTGGTGGGATAGGCAGATGAGGTAAAGTTTCAACGGATTTTGAAGTACGTCCTTCATAGCCACCATCAGGAAGTGAGCAAGGTTGTGGACGCCGCCAATGGCAGTTGGGCAAGGTTTAGGGACCTGATGTTAAGGAAGTACAGGCTCGGGGATGGCCTGCTGACCATGGCTGACTTGGAGGCCATGAACAAGGATGACTTTTCCACGGTCGGGGCATTCATGCACTAGTTCAAGAAAAAGGCAAGGAAGGTGCACGGGATTTCGGAAGAGGTGCAGTGTGCCATATTCTTGGGGTTGCTTACTGGCACGGAGGCCTCGGAGTTGACGAGTCACGGAGGGGGAAGTGAGAAGCTCACCTGGGCCACTATTGATAAAGGGGTGGAAGAGGGGAGTTTGAACCAGGTGGAGTAGCACGAGATGCGACTATAGAGGCGCAAAAGAAAGGAGAGGGACGCCACCGCATCTCGAACCTCGGGGGTGAAGAGAATCGTTACGGACGTGCTGGCGGCGTTGGGGTATGATAATGAGGCGGAGGTGCGAAAAATGGCAGTGACCGTGGACCAAGGTCGGAATCAGGGGCAGCGGATGAGGAGGTCGGACGCGAGGACTACGGTGGGGAGGAAACGGGCTCCCAGGTCCTGACCAAAGCCCAGCGGAAGCAGCGCAACTTGCTGTTGGGTGGTCAAGGATCAGGAAAAGGGCAGGCCCCTCAAACAATTGTTGCATCGCCACCTACCACCACGACGGCGCCACTGTCAGCAGGGCCATCACAAATGGGGCCGCCACCGGCTTGTGGGCACAGGGTGCCGTATTGTAAGATAGCACCCTGGCCCAGTTGCAACCACTACACCTCGTGTGGGGGGATCCAAGCCCACACTGGACAGATGGTCCCATATTCGGGCCCACTGGCAAGGGCGGGTCCACCAAGTTATCATGCGGCCCAGGGTCAGTTTGTGGCCCAACCGCCACCCTCGCAACAGGCGTCGCAGGCTAGCGTGGCCGGAGGAGGGAACCAGGGGCAAGGCGGACAGGGCAATGGAGGCCGAGGCCAAGGGGGTCGAGGAGGCGGCGGCCGAGGCAGAGGAAGAAATGGCGGGGGTCGCGGAGGTGGATGGAATGGCCAAGGAGGCCAGGACCAAGGTGGCCAAGGCGGCCAAGAAGGGGACCAAGGGTATGGAAGGCCTCGCTTCGATTGGCGGAATGCCACCTGCTGGCATTGTGGCTACCAAGGCCACACTATACGATTCTGTCAAGTGCGGCGGGATGACGAGCTCTCCGGGTTGATCTCCACCAACATGGATGGAGATATATACGATAAGTATGGGAAGTACATTGACCTGAAGACACCCGACGGAATCAGGCAGGAGGCCCAGAGGCGAGCGGCGGTAGGGCCAGCACCCCCAGCCATGTTCAGGATGTGGCAGGAGAGAGAGAACCCGGCCGTAAGGGTCGAGGAGATTGTGGAAGAAAGTGAGGAGGTAACTCAACGACTGGAGGCGGAGACTATAAAGGAGGAGCGTTGAGTCAAATGACAAAGGTCAGGAAGATGAGAGGGAGTCGGTCATAGTCATCTTGGGGAAAATGGAGGATCTGCTGGGAAAGATGGGTAGATACCAGCAGAAGCTGCAAGATTTGTGCGATGAGACCCGGGAGTGGGAGGCCGATCTTCCCGGAGTCTTCCTCTATGACTCCGGACCCGAACCTTCGTCAGGGCAACAAGGGTACCCAAGAGTTGCGACCCTGATAAACTTGAAGGATATCCTGGCATCAACACCAAGGCTCCGTGACGGATTGAAGGGGCGGCTCTCGCGAAGCATAGTGCCCAACGTCCACCTAAGTACGATCCTGCCAAGAGAGGTAGAATGGACTGAGGCAGGGACGAGGATGGATTGGAAGTGTGTGGCTTGTGGCCAGGTGGATTTGGTGGTGAAGAATCAGAAGTGTACCGGGATGGTGGACATGGGCGCCGAAATGAACATCATCAGGGAAAGGGAGGCGATGATGTTGGGGAAGGAGATTGACCGTTCGGACCATGGTATGCTGCATGGCGCCAACTGCAAAGCGGCTTTTTGTGGTACAACATTCAATGTGATTATAGAAATCGGGAAGGTACGGGTCAGGGCCTGCTTCTTCGTCATGCCAGATGTCGACCACTCCATCCTTCCGGGGAGATCGTTCCTGTGCCGCACAGAGACCCTGATTTTTAATAAGCACGATGGAACGATGATCCTGCTCCGAGTCCTGTGCGATCCGGCCTGCGGGAACTATGAGGTCATTACTTGCCGGAACACGGGGCCAGGGAGCGGGAGGAACAAGCCTAACTTCGGCTCGTTTACCTTCGAAGAATCTGAGCACGAGCGGAGGAGGTTTTGAAAGCTGCCCGAGGAGGAAGGAGGGACCGAGGTACTGATGCTGAGCCTTATTGACGTCAATAAGGCTATGGAAGTGGTGGCAGCGCATGACATTGCAGATCCTGAAGCCATTAAAGCGTTGAGGGAGCAGGTTTTTGAGAGCCCTCATGTGGGAGAGGTGGAGCTAGTCTATCGGCTTCGAGGCGGAAGGGGAGGCACGACAATGGCACAGGCGCGAACGGTAAGCCGACCTTTTTTAGGGGACGGCTTCAACAGGGCTCCCAAAGGCGGTACAAAACGGTAGATAAAAAGTGCTGCCCAGTTCCCGTGCTCGTTACTGAGGATGAGGATGCTTACTACGAGCGGGAACGAGGGTTGATACGACGCATGCGGGAGCAGGCAGCCAGTGGTCCGTGTCGTATCAACGATGAGAACGAAGGGAAGCTTGGAGATTCTAAATTCCTTTCGCCCCAAGAGAGAGCTCTGATGGTAGGGTTAATGAAGAAAAGGCACCGCGCATATGCGTTCGATGACGATCAGCGTGGAAGGCTGGATGTGGACAAGATTCCAATGATTTGAATCCACACGGTCCCATACGAGCCGTGGAACCTGAGGGGCGCGCGGTATCCCAACCCAGACGAGGAGAAGATGGTGGTGGACTACCTGGATGGCAAGATGCGCACGAATGTTGCCGATTATTTCAGCTGGTTGTACGCATCCCCTTGGTTTTGCCTCATTAAGCCAAATGGGACACTGCGGTGAGTGCAGGATTTACAGCGGCTGAATGCCGTGATAGTGCGGGATGCAGGGGGATTGTCAAACGCGGATGCACTGTCAGAGTCATGCGCAGGGAGGCCTATAATTTCGCTTATAGACCTCTACTTTGGGTATGACCAATTCCCTGTATACCCGCCAGACAGACCTGTGACGACGATGCACACACCTAGAGGGCTAATTCATATGAATGTAGCCCCTCAAGGCTGGACGAATGTAGTGGCAATGATGCAAAAGCATATGATTAGAGTCATGCAGACGGTCAACTCACACATCACCCAACCCTATATTGACGACTTGGCGGTCAAAGGTCCAAAGGAAAGAGAAGAAGATGAAGTGATGCCTGGGGTAAGACGGTTTGTTTGGAAACATGTCCAAGACCTTGATCAGGTCCTGAGCTTGCCGGAAGAGTACAACCTTACAGCAAGTGGCCCGAAGTCCAAGCATTGTATGAGGGAGGTGACCATCCTATGTTTTGTCTGTAATGAGAATGGCCGGAGGCCTGATGTGAAGAAGACAGACAAAATCGTGGAGTGGCCAGTACCCTTCCGCTCAATAACGGACGTAAGGAGCTTCCTCGGTACTTGTGGGTTTTGGAGGAGTTTTGTGAAGAATTTTGCTGCCAAGACGGAGCACTTAAGGAAACTGGTACGTCAGGACCAGGAATGGGTCTGGGGTGGAGATCAGGAGGAGGCTGTGGAGCAGATGAAGACAGAGTTTAAAGAAGGAGGTCTGGTGTTGGGGGCGCCTAATTATGAGGTCACTGAGGAGAAGTCATTCATCATTGAGATGGACGTGGGACCTACTGTCTTGGGAGGAGTTCTGATCCAGGCGGATGTCAGGGGGAAGGAGAGGCCGCTGAGATTTGAGAGTTGGACTCTTAATACGACTGAGAGGAACTACTCCCAGTTTAAAAACGAGACGTTGGTGGTACTCTACTGCCTGAGGATCTTCCGGAACTATGTCTTTGGCAGAAGGTTCATATTAAGGGTGGACCCCACGACATTCGGCTGTTCCCTGAAGAACTATACTCCATCTCACTTAACCGTCGCAAGATGGTTGACGTACATTTGGATGTTTAACTTCGAGCTGGAGATAATTTCACGGGACAAGAACAGGGCGGATGGGCTGAGCCGCATCAGCTGGGATGAAACGGATCAAGAGTCGGTAGAAGATACTCCACCAGTTGATGGGTTCTTGGACCAAGAAGAAGAGGTCCGCCTCCATATAAACGAATGGTCATTGCGGGTACCCAGTTGCGTTGGCCACCCCATATGGCTAGCGCCTAAGGGGTACGAGCAAAAGAAGGAGCTGGTCCTCAAGCCCTTCCAGGAGGAGGATCCGCGGGGAGGTAGAGATGTCCATTGGATGATAAAGCTGGCGTTGGCAGACACACACAGCTTGGCGGAGGAAGTGAGGACGATAGTAGAGGAAGACCCAACTCAGGTAGAGGAGCATGAACAGTTAATGGGAGGAATGTACATGCTCACTAACACACTTCTGCAATGAGATTTCGATCGGAAGGGTTTTTTTAGTCTTATGGAGAGTGAGGACGTCATTCCTGAAAGCCGGGATGATGAGTTCGAGGAAGGAGAGATCAAGAAAGTCTTTCGTGCAGAAGAGTATGATGGGATCTACATGGAGCTAGGGCTACTCCTGTCCAGTGAGATGAGGGATAGAGACGCAAGTGCCAGAGCGCAGAAGATGAGGCACCTCTACGTAGTAAGAGACGACCATCTGTTGATAAAGCGGCAGGTCAGGAATCGTAAAAGGATTGTATGTGGGAGGAACCAGCAGATCGACATTATAGCAGCCCTATACGATGGTGTAGCAGGGGGGCACAGAGGGATAGGTGCCACGTGCGCAAAGATAAGCGAATTGTACCATTGGGATGGGATGCTGACTATGGTCATTAATTACTGCCAGTCTTGTGTGCCTTGCCAGGAGAGGTCGGCACCAAGGCCAGGGGAGCCTCTACACCTGAGGCTGGAGAGGGAAGTGGGTGCGGTTGTACACCTGGACCTGCTTTTCATGTCAGCTGGGGAGAATGGATGCAACTACATCTTTGATGCACGAGATAACCTTACTGGATTTGTGGATGGTCGGGCTATCCGCACAAAGACTGGCCCAGTTTTGGCAAATTGCATCGAGGAGTATTACCTGCGTTACCCTTTTGTCAAGGAGTTCGTGATGGATCGAGGATCGGAGTTCACCTGTAACGAGGTACGGACCTTGCTTGCAGGGTACGGCGTAGTGTCAAACTATACTACTGTCGCGCACCCTCAGGCGAACGCACCTGTGGAAAGAGGGCACAGTACCATCACGAATATCTTGGCCAAATGGACAGAGCGCAAACCTGGTTAGTGGTCGAAGTTCCTGCGAGCCGCGTTGTTCGTGGAGAATGTCACGGTGAAGAGAACCACCAAGTACACGCCAGCCACGTTATGGTATGGGAGGCATGCCATTTTTCCCATAGAAAGCTTCTTAAAGACCTGGAGGCGCCAAGACTTGAAGGTTGATTTGTCCTTGGAGGAATTACTCGATATCCGGGCACGATAAGTGGGGGCTGCGAGGAAAGGTTGCGAAAGGCCGCCGGTCAGGTAGAAAGGAGCCGCATGGAGGACAAGATGAGATGGAACCAGATGACGCGAGTGAGGAAGGAGTCGTTGGCAGTAGGGGATGTCGTATTATTATACGACTCCTCTCTGGAGAAACAGTGATCAAGAAAGCTCGACAAAAGGTGGATGGGGCCCTATAGGATCTTGCGGTGCGGCGAATTCGGCGCCTACCAGATCGAGGAGCTGGACGGGACATGATGGCAGGATTGGGTATCAGGGACCAGGTTAAAAAAGTTTGTGGCCAGGGAATAGGTAAAGAGCCCCACACCCTTCAGAATGAACCAGTCCCTGAGGTGTCGCATGTCATGGTTAGGTTAAGCAGAGAGTGGAAAGGGTAGGGAGACATGTATTGCCATGAGGCCTCATGGACTGATGACTGATCTTGTTGTGTATCTGTCTGCTTTCTCTCGCCTGATGTGCAGGTCTGACTTCTTGAAGACAGCCATGCAGAGGGGCGGGAGGGGCATGCGGCCACGATAGAGGCCCTTAGGAGCATCTGGAGGGGATGATCAGCGCAGGCCATTTGGGAGAGAGTCCATGCCTGTCTTCGACGATGATAACGTGGAGCTCTTCCTGGACGCCTACCAAGCTCATGCGGCACGAGAGGGATGGTCTACTTTGGAGAGGATACGACATCTGAGGGGGGTTGGGCGTTTCGAGGAGTCTATCGTGCATATCCGGGGGGAGGCTCTGACCTGGCAGGACGTGGAGGCGAGGATGCAGAGGCTGAGGGCTTCGCCGCTGGGACGTGATTGTTTGCCTATTCGACTGAAAGAAGGCAATGCGGAGGAGTTCATCCTGGCCTACGAGCCGTATATGCGCGATCAGGGGACTGGGCAAGAGGAGCGGGTGCAGACGTTGCCCCTCTGGACGCGAAGGGCAGAGAGGCCGTTGGCGAGACAGATTCGGGACAGGGCACACGATTGGGAGGACTGCCAGGCTCAACTGAGACAGGCGTTTCGACGGCCAGAGCCCGAGAGATCAGAGCCCAGGGTGGAAAGACGGCAGAGTAAGAGGCTACGAGACCCAGAGATGAGGGAGGCGCAGGCGACCAGGAGAGGCCGAAAGGCCTTGGCATACCGAGAGGGGCCAGTGGAGCCAGTTCATGCGGCGGAGCCGGTCCAGGCAACGGGGCCAGCTCAGGTAGCGGAGCTACCCCCTACCCATGGGCTAGAGCAAGTGGAGTTCCGCCGGATCACGGACAGTGACCTACAGGGCCCATCGTCGACATTGCCAGAAGAGAGGGAGGTTGTACCGTTGAGGACGCCGCTCGACAGTCTGGAGGCCCATCTCGATGCGTCCCAATGGGGGACTTCGCAGCTAGGGATAGACCCAGGCGAGCCAGCACGATACGAGCCTGCAGAAGAGCCACTAGACCCTGAGCCGGAGGCCGAGCCGCACGAGCCAGGGGAGCTGCGGACCGAGGGGGTTATTACCGTTGGGGACGATACCCCTCCTCCCACCCCAATCCCGGAGCAGGTACGGCAGTACTGGCCTGAGGGAATTCCTGAGCCAGATAGCGAGGAGATTCCAGTACCGCCATTGAAAACTATTACGCCGCCTCCGAAGCAGGCAGAGCCAGAGGAGCGAGAGGGGAGCGAGAGGTCGAGGACACACACGACTGTGACACCACAGCTGACCGAGCATGCGGCTGAGCATTGGGATGCTGAGATGCCGACACCGCCAGAGTTGCTGCCTGCAGGAGGAGGAGTGAATGCGGGAGTTCCACTACGAGAGGCCCCCGCAAGACGCGAGTAGAGAGGCCACCAAGGGAGACGGCTGAGGAGAAGTTCGCGAGAGTGCTGGTGCGCCTCGGGGAGATATACGAAAGAAAAGTTAGGATGGAGGCCGCAGGGAAGGTGCCGACGCCGGCAATCGACCCCGGGACGAGTGAGTAGAGGATTGGTGAGGCGTGGGCTAGTTACGAGGGCAAGAGGGATGCTGCCCGTTTAAGGTCACTAGACGCGGGGCAGGAGGATGAGAGGGCGGACGAGGCACAACAGACGGGAGACTTGGGATTTTCAGCCACCAGGATGACAATTGAGAGTTTAGACAGGAGGGTATGCCAGGCGGCGACCACGTCCTTCCAGCGGTATACTATGCTTAGCGATGAGTTGGCGGCCTCGAGGACGGAGGAGGAGCAACTGTCCGTTCAACTAGCAGAAGAGAGGGCGGAAAACCAAGCCTGGAGCTCTCGCATGGAAGCCAAAGAAGCGGAACGGGAAAGGAGGCTCCAAGACATGGCAGTGGTTGTAAAGAGACTTTCGGCCACCAAGGTGGTCGACTGGGCAGAGCAGAGTCGGTATGGTATCCAATGAGAGGAGGTGCGGGGGCTCTTTGGCCAGGAAGGGACGACAGAGCCACGTCAGCAAGAGGGGATGAAGAAGGTATTCCTGGGTCCAGTGGAAGTGGAAGCAAGGCGAAAGGCCGAGGAGGAGAGTTTCAGCTTCAAGGCTCCCACAGAGCTAGCCTCGCAACAGGCCACCTCTATGACGATTGAGACCCCTGCAGGCGAGCCAGCGCAGAGACCCCAATCCCCACTAGTGGAAGGGGTTCCCACAAAGGAATCCCCTACGATTCTTTTGGAGGTGCGGGGAGGTACCCTTACGGGGGCAGTGGCGTCCGCTGAGCCTGAGGCAATGGAGGAGGAGGCATCGCGCCTGGACGAGTTAGTGGCAGCCATGGAACTAGATATGCCATCAGGGGGACCTTAGAGGCAGGGAGCTCCGGAGCGTGTGCTGGAATTGGGAGAGCAGAAGACACAGTTGGGCTCCTGGGCCACGGAGGCGGACTCGAGGGGGCGGGTCTTGGAGAAGCAGCAGGAGGTTATGAGTGAGTCAGCGGCAGCCGTGACTCCTCAGCCCTCAGAGCCGCATAGGGACGAGAGGGTGACCAGGATGGAGGAGGCCCACAAGGGTAGGCCACAAAGATTGGATACTTCCGAGTATGGGCCTGAGAGGGATGAGATGCGAGCGGGACCAAGCACCCAGGCGCTGGGGATGAGATCGAGGGAGTCGTGGAGCATGCCCTAGAGTCATGAGGTGAGTAGAGAGGGCAGTGAGACACCTTCGTCGCCAGGATCCCAGAAGAAGAAGAGGAGGTACCAAAGGAGGTCGAATGATCGGTGCTTCTTCTGCAAGCACGACATACACAGAGCCCTTGAGTGTCCAAAGTTCCTCAAGGACAAAGCAACTGGGAAAGTGACCGAGAGTGGCGGGAAGATGTATGATAGGCAAGGTCGAGTGGAAGAGCGAGCTCTAGATGGGGGTAGGGCTCAGCTATATAGACAGAACCAGGAGGTAATGAGCGAGTAGGGGCTGGTCTGTTTATATGTCGGTAGGACTAGAGTTCCTCCGCACTCAGAGGTCGGACTATGAGTGTATATACTCTGAGCCGGTCGAGGGGATTCCAGAGGTGTGCATGTTTAGGTCTATCGAGAGAGGTTTGTCCAGTGGTACATACATAGGTGGCAGTGCTTGATAGGCTTTTAAGTTTTTTTGTGTGTGATACGATCTAGGAAATAAGACTCAGTTGTGTGATACCTGTGATTATGTGGCTTACGCTTTAATTCTTGTAGTTCAAGAATTTTACTTGTATTTTTGAACGAGTCTTGAGAGCCCATAACACTTGGGCCATGAGTTTACTCGGCAGAGGGAGAAAGTGGGCTGAGTATCTGTGGTGTTTTCGAGGCAGAAATTTTATCCCTGAGTATAGTCTACGAACTGTATGCTGAGGACATGGGTTCTGTTCAAGTAAGAGGGACAGTGGGTGAGTGTTTGTATGAGATTTTTGAAGGAGATATTTGGCTCCTAAGTGTATTTTAACTTCAGACTCTGTGTGACTTATTTTGTGGCGATCACGATCACTCTCGCACGTGTGGCTTTATCCCAATGTATGATGGCTTTGTGTGAGAGATGTGTGGGATACATCTCATATGTTTTGTGTTGTGTGAATGTGAATATCGTCTACTCTTCGGTATACTTGTGCGACTTGCTTACGGGCGGATGAGAGGGCCGAGTATAAGGGGAGGCAGTGCAATTGTTTTGTGATAGGAGTGTGAAAATCCTAAGGGATTTTGCGAGTCCCTGAGGCTCGAGTACTTAGCATGCCGGATGTTTTTAAAGCTGAGTTACGAGGGGGACCCATAAGTAGGTCTCTCAGTTTGAGTTGTTTCGTGGTTGAGTTGTGAAGAGGACCCATAAGTAGGTCTCTCAGTTTGAGTTGTTTCGTGGTTGAGTTGTGGAGAGGACCCATGAGTAGGCCTCTCAGTTTGAGTTGTTTTATGGTTGAGACCCCTCCAGATTGAGGGAGGTGGTAGTGTTGGCTGTCGGGAGACTCATCCTCCAAGGGAAAGTGTTTTAAAAAAGGGTCGAGTGATAGCCCATCCTAGGAAGAGAGGGATGGCTGAGAGACCTATTGAGAGAAACCTCCTTCGTGTGAAAGGCGGTTAGTAGATTTACGGGCATGGTAAGCAATGTATAAATTGATAAAGTCTGACGAGAGGAACCAGAATTACGGCTTGGGTCATTGATGGAACTGAGAAGGTTGCAAGTCAGTGCATTAAGATGTCGTGGGATGTGTGGTCTGCTGTCTCTGATCAAGTCAGTAGGCCACGACCTCGTGTGAGCCTAGCGGTGAATTTGTTTGTAATTGTGAAAAGGGGTCGTGCCCGCTATGTTGTCCCACAGGAAGCTGGTAAATGCTTTTAAAAGTGAGACAAACCCCTGCGTAGTCCCGCAGCGGGTCTGTGGTCTGTTTTGCGACGCACCGTCTAGACACCTGTGCTAATCCTAAGGCATACTAAGGAATATCAAGCTAAACGGTAAAGGTTAGCACCTCTAGGGCGCAACCCCTATTGTATGGCTGCAAGCCGGCGCAACCTGGTTGCGGGCCCATGTCTACCAACAAAGTAAGAGTTTAAGGGGTTATGCACGCCTCAGGGAATTACTCCGATGGGATGGCGGGGGAAATGAGTCGAACCCTTTTTGGTCGTTCTGATTGAATGCTTATCAGGAGGAAACCTATCGTTGCGTAACCAACGAAGAGTATTGTCGCTAAGACAACAATGTGATAGGCCGTAGATCTGGCTCGATCAACCAGACTATGGTGGGCCAGGATGGAGACCTAACATTTCTGTACTAGACTGCAGAAAGAGCTGAGATGAGATTTAATGTCATTTAAGTGTATATATGTATATATGTTTAATCGTGAGGATTTTTGGGAGGGGGGCGTGACTGCCTTCCAAGGTCTCATTTAAGGCTCGCGCCCCTGGGTATGACTCTGCTTACGAGAAAGAGTCTAACAGGGACACCCAACGAGAAGCCGGCACTTGTCTAGGACGAAGGGGAGAGGACGGTTTGAGGACGCCTTTGAAACCTATGTCGTAGTATTGATGCGTAATACCACGGCGTCCCAATGTCGGGACAATGGAAACCCAGTTTGAAACCCTGGCGGCATATAGTTATATCGGCACAGATTGTTGGAGGCATCAACCCTGAGTCTGTCGGCTAATCGGATTGGTTTCATTCTCGCTAGCATTTGGAGTGTGGATGAATTTATAGCTTTCTGATTTGGCGGAGCGACGGGGACGTCGCTTAATATAGTCCGGTAGGTTGTCGGCGCGAATACCCTTACAAGGGTATCCGCCCTGGTTTCTGCAGATGACAGGAGAAATGGGTTTAACCTGTCTCTTATACACATCTAGATGTGTATAAGAGACAGGCTTAATATAGTCCGGTAGGTTGTCGGCGCGAATACCCTTACAAGGGTATCCGCCCTGGTTTCTGCAGATGACAGGAGAAATGGGTTTGGTCAAAATAAGCAGTGCGAGGCACG